GTGTTGATTTTACTGGGTAATGGGGGATTTTTGACAGCTAGCCACAGGGAGCAGATGGTTGGGAAGATACAAGCAGAACTAAGAGGAAATAGGGAAGGTGGCTTGCAGCTCCCAATAGGGGAGGGGAAACTGCATTGCTAAAGTGTAGCTGGCAATTATGTGGCCTCACCCTATGTAAAGAACTATAAGTAAATGAGGAAAGCTGGGGGTGAGAGAGGTGGTCTTCCTCAGGGAAGAGCACACCAAGTAGTTATCCAGTGCCAAATGGTCAGGCCTAAAAACATAAATACACGTAACATTATGGAGACTCAAGGAGTTACATTTACTGGCATATATAGCTTGATCGTGCTAGCCCTTTTAGTCCTGGGAATACTTTTATTCCTATCCATTGTGTTAAAGCTTTTCTTTAACAACATCAACATGTTGGCAGCCAAAGTACATGGCTTGAACCTGAAAATGGACCCCCAGACAGAGTTACTAATTTAACAGGCTGGCAAGCCAAGGACGGGTAAGATTATGCACAGAGCCTTACCAACCTAAGACAGAAATGCATTGCTTTTGATAATGCATATTCCATGATGGATAAGGAAGGCATTCTTGTCAGAACGACCTAAGACAGGCTCAGTCTTGTTAACAAAATAAAAAGGGGGGAGAGGTGGAGAGCCTTTGGGGCTGTTTGGCAAGAATCTGACATGGGCCAAAGACAAGGAAATGGGCTGCTTGGCAGGAATGTGACATTGGCCAAGGTCAAGGAAGGAATCTGACATTAAGCTAGAACGAAGAAGTAATTTCAGGTAAGAATCTAAATCTTAGTCTAGAACAAAGAAGTAATCTCAGCCAGGAATCTAAATATTAGGCTAGAACAAAGAAGTAATTTCAGACAGGAATCTAAATATTAGGCGAAAACAAGGAAGTAGGCTTCAGACATGGAAATGACCTTGGGCTAGGACAGGGAAGCTGGCTCAGATACTTTGATCATCCTGATAAGCCCTTAGAAACAGTGATCACAGGAGTATTCATGTAATTGGGTTTAATGCCTTGCTTTTTCTTTGACTATTTGTGTTTATTGTCTTGCTTGTTCCTTGACTATTTGCATCTATTGTATTGCTAGACCCTCAACCTAGAACTGACCTCAATACATGCATGTAATCAAAATGGTATAAAAGCATAAAGGAGGAGGGAGGATGGGATGGGGGTTCTAGGGAGGGGAATGGGGAAAGGGGATGACATCTGTATTGTAAATAAATAAAATATCCAGTAAAGATTTTTTAAAGGAGTTACATTTAGGACTCTCTCTATATATATATTTATATATATTTATACATATACATACATACATATGTGATCCTTTGAACCGGAATGTCCTCCATTGGGTCATATATTTGAATGCTTGGTTCCAAGTTAGTAGAAGATTTGGGGAGGATTATGAGGTGTGGCCTTGTTGAATATAGTGTGTCACTGAGGGTGTGCTTTGAAGTTTCAAAGCCAACACCAGGCTCTGTATCTTTCTGCCTATGGATCAGAATCTAAAGCTCGTAGCTATCTATCCCTCTAGCACAATGCTGGTCTGCTTCCCACCATGATTATCATGGACTAAACCTGTAAGCAAGCCTCCAGCCGAATTATTAAAGATACCTTGTTTATAGTGTCTCTTCACAGCAATAGAAAAACAACTAAGGTAATATACAAATATAGATGTATGCAATAACAATTAGTGAAAAAAGAGTCATGAATATGAAGATCAGGGTGGGGTATATGGAAGGGCTTGGAGAGAAGAAAGGGGATGGAGACGTATAGTAATTAGATTATAATCTCAACAAAGCATAATAGCTAGAATAGCTAAAACGTAACACTACCTAATGCTGGCAATAATGCAGAGAAACCTAGTCTTATTTACATTGCTGTGAGGACATGAAATGGTACAGCCAATCTAGAAAGATTAGCATTCCCCCCCATGCACCTTCACTATTAGGCATATATTCCAGAGAGATGGAAAACTGCGTTCATACCTATCTCGTACAATTCTACAGCAGCTTTATTTGTAATATTCCAAAAATCCTTCAAAAATGAATGCAGTACATCAGGACATCACGTCTTAGAATATTGGAAGCAGCCAGAAGGAAGCAATTTTTATTTCTAAACCTCTAAGCAACGGTTTATTACACAAAGGTTGTTACATAATCAGAGAGTTCTCTTCTTAGTACACAATCATTCTCTCCACAGAAAGGTGACTTTTGAACTTCTCTTCTGGTGACACAAAAGTAGTAGCAATGTCTCAGTGACTTAAGCTGAAAGCAGGACACTGGGATATGGCCCTTGCACCCAGTATCAGGAATGCACAAATGCTTTATTTAAAAATACAAAATACATTATCTGTAGAAATGGGCCACGACAGAAAACCATTATATACTGCCAATAGAAACCAGTAGCTGATAGTTATAGTGATGAGCCAGCCAGCCTCCTTTTCAGTCATTTTCTTCAAGTGATTTCTCTGAAGTCATCAATGAGGAACCTGCCTTGAGCTTCCCTTCACAGTTCACTGAGAAGGGCAAAGCTCTATTCTAGGAACTAGAATATGCCACCACCCATACCTTCCACCAATTGTACCGTTCTCTTCTGTAGGAATTTATGTCACTACAATTTCTGCTGTAGTTAACAAGGAAGCCACCCCAGCAGCATCCATTAAAGCATCTCTTACAACCTTTGTTGAATCAATGATTCCTCTTTCCATCATGTTCACAAAATCTCCAAGGATAGCATCATAACCAGCATCTGTGGAACTTTGCAGAATTTCCTCAACAACTGCATTCTTAACAATAGTCATTGCAGGAATTTAGACTGCTCTTTGAATAATTTCTATCCTAATTTTTATCTTTAATTCAGGCTTTAATGAATCCAAGACTGGAATCCACGAAAGCAGTAGTACACACACACACACACACACACACACACACACACACACACTATAGCAGTGCCTTCTTCAACAACTGCTCTTGTAGCATTGAGAGTATCCATAACTTTCTTTCTTCTCATTCACTTCAACATCACTTGATCCCCCCAAACTTCAGCACAACTGCCCCATTTGAAGCTTTCATCAGTCACTCATTCAGCTTTTTCTTTTCATACTCACTAGTTGTGATGTATGATTGTTTGGTGATTTATTGGATATGGTTTTCAATTCAAGTTTGTCACCTTTGCTTTCAAAACCATGGAATTACCTTTGGAGATAATTACTCCTAAGTCATAAGTTTGAAAATATTTTAGGTTTAGATTTCACCCCTCTTCCTTAAATACAGCACCACCAGTAGGAACAACCATGTCTTTACTCTGGTTCTTCCTATTGCCCCAAACCCTGGACTGTTAGCTGTTATAACCTGAACACCAACTATTAGCCTATTTAAATCTACTGTACTTAGAGTATCTGGGCTTCTGGAGAGCAGTTGGAATTTAAAAACCAAGTGCAATGGACTGAACAGTAGATATTTTCTTTTCTTTGAACATAACATAGGCATCTTGGAATTCGCATTTTGACCTTCCCATGTATTAATGAATTATCAGGAATACACCCTCTATCAAATTTTATTCCTTCAATAATTTCTAATTCATCATTTGGGAATTTTTCCATCCTTCGCTGTGAAGATACCTGTTCTTCCAACCATATTCATTGCATCACAAATGATGTTTCCAATGTCTTTGTCTCCATTTGCTGAAATCATAGCAACCTGAACGATTTCTTCAGGGATTATTACATGTTTAGAACCTTTTTTAAGTTTGACAATTACAGCATCAAGAGCCAACATCACATCTCTCCAGATTTCCATTGGATTAGAACCTTTGCTGACCTTCTCAAAGCCCTCCTTTGCAATAGACCATGACAGAACAATAGCAATGGTGGTGCCATCCCCAGCCTCTTCATTTGTGTTATAGGCAACATCGTGAACAAGCTTAGCTCTGATATTTTCATATGTATTCTTTAAATCAATTGACTTTGCAACAGTGACATCATCTTTTGGTACTATGAGACTATCCTAATTCTGTTCATTAATCACTATTCTTTCCTTTCAGTAACAGCTACAACATTGGCTGAAAGGTCTACTCTTTGAAAAATTAAGGCTCAGGCATCAGCACCAAATATCTTTGGCACAGGGCTGCATGAGATGAGGAGCTAGTCCCCAGGGCACTGGGTCAAAGGGTGTTTGGTAGTGGACATATTTCTGTGAGGCTGCAATGCGAGTGCATGAGGCTACCAGTGGCAAGTGATGGTAGAAAGCAAGTGTTGATTACAACTCTTATAGATCTCAAGCCAACAGTTAGCGACAAGAAACTAATCCTCAAAGATCATACTGTATCATGTCATTTACATACCATTCTTGAAATAGTGGTGGAGAATAGTTAGTTGTTGCCCAACATTAAAAATGAAGGGAAAGTGGTGGGTATAGCTAGAAAGAGGTGAATGGTTAAGTAGGAACCTTGCAGTGGCACATCTTGATTGTAGTGGCTGGTCCACAATCTAGGCATGTAATAAAACCTCACATAGCTACATGCATACATTTGTGAACATACAAGTGCATGCAATATGTGGGAAATCTGAATGACCACTATGAATTATGTCAGTGATGATCTCCTGGTTTTGATATTGGACTGTAGTTATGCAATCTTCATAGGGCTAAACTCAGTGTCCACAATGCACTATTTTCCGTTTAGCAATTTCCTGTGAATTTATACTGATTGCAGAATAAATGTTTAAAAATTGCACAGGCAGGTTAGATTGGTGTTGCTGACATGCTAATTGCTCATATTTATTATCGTGGCACTTCTGGTTGTTCCTTTCATTTGGATCCTTGCCCAGCTTCATTACTTCAGTAGATTGAAGCTGTCAGACCAGATTCAGACGTAAAAACAAGTTTGGAAATACTGCTGGCTCCATATGGGATGTTGCAAATAAGGTGAGCGATGACATGAATCTGGGTTTCCTGACAATATCTATGCTAAACTAATAGTTGCCAAAAAGCAATTCAGAAAATAGACTGTGGCTGGGAAGATGGATCATTGAGTAAAAGGACTTGATATGAAAGCACAAAGCCTTGCATTTGAATCTCTAGCATATACATAAAAGTGGAACATGTTTCCATGTGCCTGTGATGTCATCATTAGATGGCAAAGGTAAGCAAATTCCAGGAACTCACTGGCTAGACAGCCTAGCTGAAATAGATGAGCTTTCTGTTCAGTGATAGACCTATCTCAAGGGAATGAAATAGAGAGTAATTGATATCCTCCTCTGACCTCTACCTCACAGGTACCCTTACTACAAAATGAATACTCTTCCAGTGTATAGACATACTTCCTCATATTCTGATCTCCATCAAATTTTTTTCTTCATTAGTATTTTTGCTTCCTTTCATGACAAGATATATTAAAGGGGTGTGGGGCGAGATATATCCTGCGTCAGCAATCTTCCAAAATAGGAGACATGAGAGAGACATCATTACAGATATTCTAGCGAGACTTCAGTATCTAATATTGATGTCTATTTTAAATGTATTCTTTCCCAGTAACAAATGTCAGGGATGTGACAGGAAAACTGTTTCTCTAACATATTTTCTCCACACTCCAGTACCAATCCCTTTCCAGGACTGCAGTCTGTCTTACAGCAATGTGTGATTCTTTGAACAGCTGATTGATAAAACACCTATTTTGAGATTTTAAGCAGTGAGTGGAGAAAAATAAATTTTTTTTCACTAAAACCATAGTGCTTTGTGTAGGGAAAATACTGAAGAAAGATGAAGCCTGATGATCCTGTGCCCTCTCTCTACTTTGCAAGATGCTCATTTTCTAAGCAGCCTCAGCCAGAAGCCAAGTTACAACTCTGCCTGGCTCATCCTTCAGAAATGAGCTGTCGCATATATGAAGTCATAAAAAAAATTTTAAAGTGGATGCTTTGGGGCGTTAGGAAATGGGAGATGGGGCAGAGACCACACTGTATCTTCCACACATTACTTCTCCCCAGATCAAGATCCAACCTCAGTGGGTGCTTTTTGGCACACAGCTCTGAGCATCACGCCAGTGCAATAATGGCTTCCAGGAGCCAGAGCCACTTCAGCTGTTTTCTAAAGTTAAGGGGGGGGGGGGAAGAGTAGCAAATGGCAACACCACATGGAAGCTCACTAAAGTCTGATTACTTGAGAAGACCTTTTATTAATCACCTAAAAGCTTGTATAATAAGCATCCTCTTGATATAAACTGCAGCAAAGAAGTAAGACTACATGGAGAGTAATCTTTGAAAGTACAAAGACTGGATTTTTTATTCAGGTCTAGGTTGGGTTCAATTCCCTGAGTCTTGGTTTTATCATCTATAAAGTTAAGGCAATAGGAACACCCACATGTAAATTTTAGTATGTTGTTTTGAAAAAGAATCAAATGACGTATATATGTCAAAATGTTAGAGTTGGGGTGTGGCTGGATTGCATAATGCTTGCCTTGCATGTCCATGGCCCTGGATTAAATTGCTAGCATTGGAGGGAAAACAACATAGTAAACTTTAAAGATGGAGGCTCTTCAAATGGGATATTTTAATGTATGTAAATAACCTACATCTATATGTCCAGGTTCCCATGAATTCCCAGGAACCCATGGAAGCTGCTGTGTGTGGTTTGTGGCTCTCATGCCTAGTAGGCATATAGTAGGAACCCAATCAATGTTGATTGAACAATATACTAATAGGTTAAAAAAATGTTTTCCTGCTTCATCACCATCATAAGACACAGCTTTGTTGTTTCTTGACTTCTTCAAATAAAAATTGTTAAAAATCTTTTTTTGTACACTCATGTGCCCTAGAAGAAGTTGATGTAAGTTATGAATCCTGAGTGGCTCTCAAGATGTGTCATTTCAAAACAGTGTAGTCCCCAACTTCACCAACAAAAACAACCTTTTCAAAATGCTAAGCAAAGCAGTCTAATTTAGTCACATCCAACTCAAAGAAATCAAGGACTGCTTACAAATTTTTCTAGTAGCCGGGCCAGAAGAGGAAGAAAACCAGAGAATAGCAAGCCTCTGCATGGCCACAAAATTCACTTAATTAAAAACAACTGGAAAAGCTACAAAGCCCAGAAAATCTTTCTGAGCCCTGTTGCAAATTGCCTACTTTTCAAACAATGTCTTCCCTTGTCCTTGCCATCTTGTTTGTTGATTTTCTGGATCCACCAAACTAAGCAGGATGATCAGGCCTGAGATCATGGGGACACAGAAATGTTCCCTTTGCCATCAGGACTTTTATGAATACCCATCATGATAAACCTTTGACTTGTGAGGCTTGCTCATGCCACTGTGAAAGCAAACATGTCTGTGCTATCCATTCAAATCTCTGATATGCTACAATTGAGAAAAAGATAAAATACTTTAAAATGCTTTTTTAAAATTACAGACATGATGGGGGATGCCTATAATCCAAGTGCTCTTGATGCTGAGGCAGAAGACAGTGAGTAGGACTCCAGTCTGGGTTATATGGTGAGACTGACTCAGATGCTCTAATTCTAAATAAGAAGCTCTTCACTTTTGACCTTTCCCTTTTTATTTTTTGTCTGTCTATCTGTCTCTCTGTCTCTGTCTCGTGTGTATGTGTGTTTGTGTGTGTGTCTGTGTGTGTATGTGAGTATTCAAACAGAGGTCTAGTAAGATGGCTCAATTCATGAGTACTTGCTATACAAACATGAAAACCTGAGCTTGCATCCCATCTCCCATGTAAAGAAAAGACAAACTAGGCCCTCTTGGACCATTAGTGTAATCATAGCACTGAGGAAGTGGAGACAGGAGGATCCTTAGGACTCACTGGTCAATCAATATAGCCAATTGATAAATTCCAGATTCAGTGAGAAATTCTGTCTCAAAAATAAGGTAGAGAATTAATTGTGGAGGGAATTCAACGCATACCCACAAACACATAGAAGTATCAAACTTTTTTTTATCATAATGGAACCTTATCTGCACATTATTCTGACCAACACCTATCAACTCCATATAATATCATTTCTAAGTTCAATCAGTTAATGAACATTCAATACATAAATACATAGTTTGTGCTGCTATTATTTAAGTTTTTAAGACAAGAGGCTTAATTAGGCAAAATCCTGGCCCTATCAGAGCTTACAGAGATCAAACACACAGCCGTAAATGCTGTGATAAGAGAAAGCCCAGCAGACAGCTAACCAGTTGAGGAGCACGTCCCTAAAGGAAATAACCTAAGCTGAGCCTTGAAGAACAAATAAGAACTAGCCCAGAGAATGAGGAAGAGGGGAAGATTGAAAAAGGTCCAGGAGCGGGAATGAATGACATACTACAAAAACATGTATTCCACAAAGTAGGAAAGCCTAAAAGAATTCTTGATATATGTATGTATGTGTGTGTACACACACACATACACACACACACACACACACACACACATACACATACATATACATATATACACATCCTACCAAGTTAAGTCATGATGGAATTAAAACTTTAAATAGATGCATAACCTTTAGTCAAATAGAACTGGTAATTTAAATTTTCCCAACCATAAAAATTCAGTGTCAGGTGAATTCAGTGAAGAGTTATACAATATCTTCAAAGAACTAAACCAATACTCTTCAAATTATTTCACAAAGGAGAAAATTATATAGTTTCCTAATTTTTTTTTACAAAGTCACTATTACTCTGATACCAAAACTATAGAAAGACACAACAACAAGAAAAAAGAATATCCTTTATGAACATAGATGCAAGCATTCCCAATAAAATGTTTGCAAACCAAATCCAAGAACACATTAGAGTGATTATCTACCATAATCAAGCAGGGTTCATCTCAGGAATGCAAGGATAGTTCAGCATAAGTAAATCAATAAACTTAACTTACCACATAAACAAACTGAAAGATAAAACCACATGATCATTACATTAGATGTATAAAAGGTTTTTCATAAAAGTTAACATCCATCCTTTCATGATAAAATTCCTAGAGAGAACGGAATACAAGGGACATACCTCAACATAATAAAGGCAATTTACAGCAACCTCATAGCCAACATCAACCTAAATAGAGAGAAACTCAAAGAATTTACACTAAAATCAAGAACAAGACAAAGATGTCTATTCTCTCCGTACTTTAAAGCAGTATTTGCAGTCATAACTTAAGCAATAAGATAACTGAAGTAGATCAAAGGGATACAAACAGAAAAGGAAGAAGTCTTAAGTATCTTTATTTGCAGATATGATTTTATTCATAAAAGACTCTTAAAACTATGCTAGGAAACATGTAAGCACTTTTAGCTAAGTATCAGGATACAAAATTAACATACAAAAATCAGTAGCCTTCTTACACAAAGGACAAACATACTGAGAAAGAAATAAAGCAAACAGTACCTTTCACAGTAGCCTCAAAAACAAAACAAACACACACACACACAAAAAAAAAAACCTTAGGAAACCTCTAATCAAATGAAAGACTTGTATAACTAAAAACATTAGGATATTGAAAAAGAAATCGAAGAAGACAACATAAGATAGAAAGATTCCCCCATGCTTGTAGATTGGTGCAATTAATACAGTGGAAAAGACCATCCTATCAAAAACAATATGCAGATTTAATACAATCCCTATCAAATCTAAACATAATTTTTCACAGAAATTAAAAGTAAAAATCTTCAATTTCATGTGAAAACAGAAAAAATACACAGGATAGCTAAAGTTATCCTGAATAATAAAAGAATTGCTGGAGGTATCACCACCTCAGAGTTCAACTTCTATTACAGAGCAATAGTAATAAAAACAGTATGGTATTGCCATTAAAATAGGCATGTTGATTAATGGACTTGTGTTAAAGACCCAGACATAATACCACACACCAATGATCTCTTGATTTTTGACAAAGAAGCCACAACAAAGACAGCATCTTTAACAAATGGTGTTCTTCAAATTGGATAATTACATGTAGAAGAATGAAAATAGAACCATATTTATCACCTCGCACAAAACTC